AACCCAGGCTGGAACGCACCAGGCGGGCCGGTGCGATTATGCGTTTTTGCTCATTTCGTGCCGTAGTAAGATCGCAAGGAATCGAAGTAGCTGACCCTGTGAAATGCGGGCCCTCGAAATTTGGAGATGTTAATTGTGCAACTATGTGGTATGTCAGTTGTAGGTGTCGACTTCAGTGACCCGACAAATGGGAAAGTTGCTGGTCCGCAAAGAAAGTTTGTGCCGCAGCAAGATCGCAAGGAATCAAAGTAGCTAACCCTGTGAAATACCGGCCCTCGAAGTCCGGGAAGTTAATTGTGCAGCTATTTATATGTCAGTTGTAGGTGTCGACTTCAGTGACCCGACAAATGGAAAGTTGCTGGTCCGCAAAAAAAGGCCACTCTAGAAGAGTTAAGTTTAAAATCTTTTAGTCGCACATGAGCAGGAAACATTCCCTTAAAGTTAAAGCCATCAGCTTTTCCTGTCCCTGAGTTAGCAGTTTCCCATCAAAATTTTTACGTGTCCGTGCGTGAATGCTGGGCGTTTTTAAAGAGTTGAATTTAAAATCTTTTGGTCATGCATGAGTAGGGATCATCACCCTAAAGTTTCAGCTTTCCAGCTTTCCCCGTTCCCGGGTTAGTAATTTTCGCGCCAAAATTTCCACGCGATCGTACATGAGTTCGGGCACTTCTAAACACCTGATTTTGCTCGTACATGAGTGGGGCACATTCTCTTAAAGTTTCGGCTTTCTAGCTTTTCCCTTTCCCGGGTTAGTAATTTCCGCGCCGAAATTTTCACATGCCCATACGTGGGCTCGGGCGCTTCTAAACAACTGATTTTGCGCGTACATGAGTGAGGAACATTCCTTTAAAGTTTCAGGTCTCTAGCTTTTCCCGTTCTCGGGTTAGTGATTTTCGCGCCAAAATTTTCGCGTGCCCGTACGTGTGTCCCTGACGGTCCTAAGGAGCTGAGTTTGGAAACTTTTGGTCGTGCATGAGTATGGAACATTTCCCCAAATTTTCAACTTTCTTGCTTTTCTCATTTTCGGGTTATGAATTTTCCCGCCATAATTTTCACGTGCCCGTACGTAAGCCCCGGGCACTCCTGGGCAGCAGAATTTGAAATCTTTTTGTCATACGTGGGAAGGGAACATTCTCCTAAGGTTTCAGCTTCTTAGCTTTCCTCGTTCTCGAGTCACCGGTTTTCGCGCCAAAACTTTCGCGTGCCTGTGCGCGAGGCCCAGACGCGCGTGAGGGCTGAAACCGCGGACCTGGAGTAGTACCTGGCTGGGGAACACACTGGCAAAATTTCAGCTTTAAAGCTTGTGTGGTTAGCGAGTTGAAATACCCAGACAGACGAACACATACACACAGACACACAACAAATACACAAACACACACACACACACACACACAC